CCCCCCCCCCCCCTTTGGGACCTGGTTTATATCTTCCATCCTCAAAATGGTGATATCAGGGATCTGTGGTCTCAGTTTCCAAAGTTCTTATTTTCTTCCTTTATTTTCATTCTCCCGCCCCCCCCACCCCCACCTTCCTGCACAGAATGCTCTGGACCATTGGGAATTGAAGGAGGAATCATTTCTAACCAGCAGATTACTGCGTCATCCACCCATCGAGCTCTTTTTGGGCTCCAGAAGTGGTACCCCTACTATGCACGACTTAACAAGAAGGGTCTAATAAATGCTTGGACTGCAGCAGAAAATGACAGATGGCCATGGATTCAGGTAACCGATGGAGCTGGGTGTGTGGAAAACTACTGGCTTATATTGCTACTATTGTTTAAGTAAACAGTGCAATTTTCATAGAGGCCTAGACCTGCAGTGAAATGTTTTTCAAATATTTTCTGTTGTCCAGGGTCAAATTTCATTCAGTCTCCTCAAGAATCTTTTCAAACGTAACTATCAGCTCCCAAACATATATATCTGGATCTGCTTTAATGGGAGATGGTTGACGCACCTATTTGTGTAAAATACTTATATCAGTGTGAACTGCCACTGACACAACTTTCAATATCAATCCATTCATCCCATATTAATTAACCATTAACAGAGAGAAATGAGATCTAGGTTTGATGATGTGACAGTCAAACTCAATCTTCCCTACTTCTGCAAAAATACTGAAAACTGAGATTGATGGAATCCTTGTAAAAACAGAGTATGTTGGGAGCTAACAGATGGCTAAATTAGCCTAGCAATTTTCAGAATCAGATATCTGGAAATCCACTGTCCAAATCTTCCAAATTTGAATCCCAGTTTTAATTAGCTCCTAATCAACACTGTCAATTTTCTAAATCTTTGTTTCCTTAGTTTGAATAGCAAGAGCACCATTTCTCTGCTACCGTCATTACCTGTCTCTTCAAATTAAAAAGCAGGGGTGAGAGATTAACTCCCATGCAACCAATTATCATCATCAACAAATGTAGAAGTTATTAATTTAACATCAGATGGTTTCTGAGCTTTCTGGATTGTTAGCTTCTTCTACTTTCTCATTCAGAACTAACATCTTGCTTTTCAGAATGTCAAATACTGGTCATTCCCAATCCTGCCTGACATTCTCAAAGTTTCAGCCTAAAAATTTCTTCATGAAAAATGTCTCTTTAAAAAAAAAAAAAACAGCAGATGTAACAGCAGATAAAACTTTAATGGGGGGGAGTGTATGATGAATATGCATAGAAGAGGGGAGGACAGAAAAAAGGATTCCTGCCTTTAGAACTACAGCATATTAATGGGTAAAACTTGATTAGAAGTGTAAGTACTGAGATGTGGGAACTTATGATGCCCAGGCTAGAGATACCATTGTGTAAATATATCAGAACTGCACAACTTCAGGGCTATAAGATGCCATTCCATGTATCCATCAATCTGGAAAGGTAGAAGGAAGAAGCCTAGAATTTAAATCCTTGAGAACAGAGATATCCCTGACATCTATGAATTGTAGCCAGCAATCAACTATTGCATATATGGCTTCATTCTTGCCCATAATAATGACTGTAATCTAGTCAAGCCATGTTTATGGGTCTTCTGCCAAGTCAAGCTGAGAAGCTGACCTAAGGGGAAAGTATCAGGAGATCAGTGTTTTACTGCCAAACCATTTAAGTGTGAAACAACCTTTACTTGTTTAAAAACCATGGTTGACAGCCATCTGCAACTTACAATGGACTGCTTCCAGAAGAAAACATGGACCTGTATTCCTGGGATTTCACAGTTGTTGTTGGAGGAGGCATACAGACAAAGATTGTCTTCCATTTGTAATCCTGCATTTTCTCCACCACTTCTTCTGTTAATCTGTTAAGGAAAAAACTATCCCATGTAAAAGCATTAAACTTACACCCTGTACCTTTAGGTGCCTTTTTGAAAGACTCAGACTTAAGTGAGATATATTTAACAGAAGTTTGCCATTAGTGGTTCTAAGAAATAGATTATTAAATAAGGGCCTAAGTATTTTCATTAGTATCCAGTTTTTAACAACCACTGTATTTTCATATTTCCAGTTCTTATACAGAAAAGTTTTATAATTCTTCTTTGCCCATAGTGAAGTACTTTTCAGACATTAATACAAAATAATGTATTTTGGCAAGGATGACCGGTGCCCCTTCTTTCTTTTCCTTGTTTCTGTCTGGGTTTATTTTCTCTGCCATCTTTGTTCTTTTGTTTTGTGCTGCTTTGGGTTCTTTTTAATTGTTCTTTGTAAATTTTTTAACAATTTGTAAACTGCCCAGAATCGCTGGGAGGTAGGTGGCATATAAATTTAATAAATTATTGTTGGTCACAGAGTCAGCCAGGTGTTTAGACTGGATTTGGCATTTTTATCCACCTATCAAGTCCTTCCCAAGGACCTGGGATAAGCAAATGTTGTTGTTTGATGGTGTTAAAGGTATCACCGCAGGATATGAGCTGTTCCAAGTAAAACTCCCTTTTGAAATTGACTGATGGTGATTTTGTCAATGTTGATGGTCTTCAAATGATGCTCCAGATGTTTTGGGATTGCACCTAAGACACCTATTGGTACTGTCTTTGCTTTCTTTTGCCACAGTCGTTCTACTCCTATTTGCAGGTCTTTATATTTTGTGATTTTCTCCAGTTCTTTCTCTTCTATTTTGGTGCCTCCAGGTATTGCAATGTCCACTATCCAGACTTTTTTGTCTTTCTTATCAACAATTGC